ATTCCCAGTTCCCGGGACCATTCCCAGCTCCAGACCATTCCCAGGTCCCGGGACCATTCCCAGCTCCAGGACCATTCCCAGCTCCCAGGGCCATTCCCAGCTCCAGGACCATTCCCAGCTCCAGGACCATTCCCAGCTCCCAGGACCATTCCCAGCTCCCAGGACCATTCCCCCCACCCCGTCACTGAGCTCCCCTGGATGATAAACGCCTTTTCCTTAAAGCCTCCAACCTGATGTTATGACACTGCTTCCATCTGCTGGTTTTATTCCATGAGGAGCATCTTGGAAGTCTGAAAACCCAAGGAGAAATGAAAGGATCCTTATACTTGATGTGCTGAACCTGATGATCCAACCTCCCTCCATCCTGTCTCCTGAGTGCTGCTGGAGTCAGGCTTGCAAATAAACTGCTATTTGTGCTTTTAATTTAGCTTCACCATTCCCCAAGAACCCCTTTCTCCCTGCTCATAAATCAGATGATTCCCTTTCCTCTCCCAGCTGAGGTGGTGGCTGATTTCCCTCTGGATCTGGAGTTCCCAAGAATGTCCAGACACTCTCTGAGATTCCTCAGGTTTACTCGGTCCCTGTGGAGAAGAGCTAGTAAATTTGCTTCTTCCTCTTCTATTTTTTAGCTGACTTGGGCTGAAAACAAGAGGCTGAACAAGGGGATGGATGTGGTGGAGAAAAGGGGACCGTACCTCATGGGCAAACCTCCCTCCATTCATGCCAAGCTCCGTAAGTGATGCTGGGTGACATCCCAAGGGACTCTGCTGGGACCTGGGGACACGTCCGAGCCTCTCAAAAGGCCTTTGGATTCCTGGGTGGGATAAAATGATTTTAAAAAAACCCCACAAACAACCCATAAAACCCTCTAGATGCTGCCTGCTGGAAGCACCACAACGCCCTGTCCTCTCCTTTAGGATCACAGAATCAGGAAGGTTGGAAGGGACCTCAAAGATCATCCCGTTCCAACCCCCCTGCCACGAGCAGGGAACCACCAGACCAGGCTGCACAAAACCTCATCCAGCCTGGCCTGAAAAACCTCCAGGGATGGGGCATCAACAACCTCCCTGGGCAACCCATTCCAGTTCCTCACCACCCTTAGAGTGAAGAATTTCTTCCTGATGTCCTCTCCCTCCCTGCCCTTGTCCCAAGCCCCTCCCCAGCTTTCCTGGAGCCCCTTCAGGCACTGGAAGCTGCTCTAAGGTCTCCCTGGAGCCTTCTCTTCTCCAGGCTGAACACCCCAACTCTCCCAGCCTGGCTCCAGAGCAGAGCTGCTCCAGCCCTTCTCTGGACCCTCTCCAACATCTTACCTGTGCTGAGGGCACCAGAACTGGACACAAAACCCCAGGCGGGGACTGACCAGAGCAGAGGGGCAGGATCCCCTCCCTGGCCCTGCTGCCCACGCTTCTGGTGATGCAGCCCAGGCTGCAGTTGCTCTCTGGGCTCCAGCCCTCACTGGGAGCTCATGTCCAGCTTCTCATCACCTACCACCCCCAAGTCCTTCTCCTCAGGGCTGCTCTCCGGCCATTCCACAGCCCGTTTTGGGGGTGTTGGGGGGCGGAGAAGCTGGGATGCTGCTGCAGCTCTGCCCCCTGTGCTTGGCTTTCAGAGCGGCAGCGCCAGCAGGCGAGGGCAGCGCTGCGGAGGCAGGGGCTGCTGGGGGGACCTGCCCCCCCCCACCCGAACCCACCACCTAAAAGGTCTGAGCCCCTTTCTCGGGTTTGTTTGGTTTGGTTTTTTTTCTTGTTGTTGTTGGGTTTGGTTCAGTTCGGTTTTTTTCCTCCCCCAAGATGGATTTTACCCGCTGGGAGGGGAAACTTGGAGATGGCAAAAAGAGCTCGGGTGGAATTTATTCTTAGCTGGAGGTGGCCCTGGGTGGGGGAGGGATGTTGAGGACTGGGATTCCTGCCCTGGATCCTCGGGTCCCTCAGCTCCCTGGTGACATTTTCCCACCCAAATGCCAGCCCTGGGCTCGTTCCTCTGCTTCCCTGCAGGTCGGTGAAGTTTAACAAGGGCTACATGGCGCTGAGCCAGACAGTGGATGAAAACCTGGTCTCCCTCGAGTCAGACAGGTGGGAACTGGGTGAATATCCCAGGAAAACACTCCCAAATGTAGCAAATCTTTTGGGATTATGCTGCCAGCTCCCTGTCCCCCTCCCTGCCCTGAGATTCCCTTGCTTGCATGCCAAGCAAAGAGAGCACTTCCCAGCTGGCTCTGAGCATTTCCTTCTTCTCCTAGTGATGGGGAGCCGGGATCCAGATGTTCCTCAGGCTACTCCTCTGCTGAGGCAAGTGCAGGGGTCTGACCCCAGCTGCGTGGGGTCCCCGCGGGTCCCCTCGGGGTCCCTCCAGGGGCTTGAAGTGAAGCGTCACCCTGTGGTGATGAAGTGAACTCATCAGGGACTCGTTTTGACCCCAGAAGGTGAACCAGGACCTGAGCCGGCAGCTGCTGCAGGATGGGTACCACCTCGACGAGGTCCCTGATGATGAAGACCTGGATCTCATCCCCCCCAAACCCATCTCCTCCTCTTGTTGCCCCTCTTGTTTCGGGGCAAACGTCTCCTGTGTCATCCAGTAGACGCTGCTCGGCCAGAGCTGAGCAAGGACAGGTCGCGAGTCAGCACTTACTGTGTCCCCTGGGATGGCTGTTGGTGCCCCTGTCCCACCCCAGGATGGTGACACAAGGACTGAATGATGCTGCCGTGCTGCTGGGGGTGAGCAGCAGCCAAGCCCAGAGGATTTCTGCTCAGCAATAGCAGGGAGAAGGTGGCACTGAGGTGGCCTGGATGGCGTGGGAAGGGAGGAGAGGCACCTCCACGGGCACGTGAAGGGAAGGAATTGGGAGGAACAGCAGCAAATTCCTCTTTTCTTCCTTTTTTTTTGGCCACCTTGAGGACTAGGACCTGGCCCAGCCAGGGGTTGCCCTCCCCAGGGAAGAGGTGGGGTTGAACAGCTGTGGTGTGAGACCAGGCTGGGAAGCCCTTGAAACCCCTTTTCTATTTATTTTAGCTTTAGTCACCCCTCCTCCTTGGGAGGCTGAGGCCAAGCCAGTGGGGTTGGGGTTGGGCTGGCAGGGATCTTCCTCCTTTGCCTAACAACTGCTGCTTGCACCTTAAGAGCTGCTGGGTTCTCCCAAAGCCTGAACCAAAGATCACTGTTCCAATAGAGAAGACAGGAAGGACGAACCCAACAGAGCAGGTCACTTTAAGCATCCTCATTTGTGATACCCACCAGCAGCTACTGCTCAGGCTGGGATCTCCCTGCTTTCCTCCTCTCAGGGGACCTGTTGAGTCCATTGGTTGTGGGTTTGGAGCTTAAAGCTTGTTCCAGCTCTCCCCAGAGCTGCCCAAATGCAGGCAGGGGCCAGTGCAGCCTCATCATGCCAGCTCTGCACAGCTTCTCTGGGGGATCTTACCTGCTGTGAACCTTCCAAGCTGCCTTAAATGGTCCTGCTCTACTGCACAGAGGACAATCAGCTTCTTAGAAACTATTGACAATACTTGATGTCTAGAGCCCTGAACTGGGAGTTTCTTTTTGTATCTTCCTTGTTGAAGGGAGCACTCAATAAACTGGATCTGGCTACTCAGAGGGTGCATTGGTGCTGTGGGGGGAGGAGTTGAGCCCCACTCCCCCCCACCCTGGTGTCCTCACTCAGGGGTCTCCCTCCCTGCCCCTGGTGCTATTTTTGGAGCAATCTGGTTTCCCTCAGGGCATTTTACCCCAGGGTCCAGTTTCCCTGCAGGGGGAAAGTCACAGCCAGCTCTGAGGGGGAGATGATGGAGCTACCTCAAGCCTCTTGCTCCAGTCCCCATCTTCTCCCTGTCCTCCTCCTGCTCCCTACACCACGCTGCCCTGTGCCAAGGACAAAGTCATCACTTTATTCACAGCACTGGAGGCTCTCCAGCTCCTCCACACCCCCCTCCCCCCAAAAAGCATCCCCCTTTTACAGCTGGGGAAGTGGTGACATGGCTCAGAGGAACTGCCTGCCATCAGCCAGGCTGGGGAAGAAACCTCCCAAGCACCCAGGAGCAGCAAAAGAGACTCAGCATCACCTTCACAAGAGGTGAAGCTCTTAGATGCTGGAGCAGCCTGCTATGAAGACAGGGTCAAAATAAAAGGAGTCACCCTATGGCATTAGCAGCACCCAGAGGGGATGGTGCTAGGGGGACGTGGCTAAGGAGCTGCCAAGGGAGATGCTCTTCCTCTCCCTGCTCTGTGCCACGTCTGAGCAATCAAGGTGTGGAATTGCTCTTTCTACACATGGGGGGAGAAGGTCAACAGAGGGGAGGGGAAACTTCCCAACCAGATGACTTTGCCCAGGCTAGTTTTCTATCTCCTGAAACGTGGAGTGGTGCTGGGCCCTGCTCAGAGGAGGCAGCAGGCTCGGAGGAGCAGCATCCCATCGGGAGAGGAGAGGTGGAGGGAGATGCTCTCGTTGGCAGAGATGAAGAGCACGGAGCCACGGCACAGGGTCATCTCGGAGGCAGCGGCCGTGGACGTGCCCACGGCTGTTCCCCTGATCACCAGCAAGATGCTGGCAGACTCCACTGCAGAGACCAGGTACAGCTTGATGGAGGAGGGGATCTGCAATGGGAAAGGGTCGCTGCAGCTTCAGGCTCCTCCAGCTTTGCTTCTCTTCGGGGAGCAGGAAATGGGGGGGGGGCACCCC